CCACGCTGAATCTTTCAAGGTGACAAAATCAATTTGAAAAAAAAGTTAAGGCTGAGGTAGAAAGGAGAGGAGAAAAAATATCTTAGGACTCTGGTGTAAGGAATATTGCATGTACTCAAATACATTTAATGCGTTAATGAGAAATACTAGGTTCCACATGCCACATTTAAAAAAAAAAAAAAAAAATCTCATTTAAGAAGAGCATGGTGGCATGCTATAGTACAGTTAAAACTCATATACCGGTTTTTAAAAACTTTCTAAAACAATGTGTGAATTCATACTTAAAGAGAAATACAAAACTGAATAGCCTATCCCAACAGCCACACTGAAGTTCAGCATGGGTCAGGGAGACAGAATCCAGTCAGGCAAACACAAAAAAAATAGCATTTTCATTTACTGCACCCTGAAGTACCTTATAGGGCTTTAATTTACATACCTAGAGAGGAATAACCATATGCATGCATGCAAAAATAAAAATTAAAAGTGTTCATAATACATCATCTGTTTCTAAGATAGTACAGCTGCCATTTTTTTAGTATCAGAACCACAAATTCTGTGTGAACTTTGAACATGCTATACTTCTAGCAAAGCAGAAAGTAAGTAAAACTAATCCCAAGTGAAGACCACCACCAACTTAGAGGAACAAAGATCAAAAAGAGAGGGGTGGGAGTGGTAATGAGTCACTTAAAGCTGACCGTAGGAAGTTTTACTGGATCAAACAAGAACTTAAATATTTATTGGTTTTACACATGATCGAAATCCTGTGTTAGCACTTCCTACTGGAGATGGAACTGCTCAGATTTAAGCCTTCACACCACCTCCCCATATGCAAATATGTAAGTAATGAATTATATAGAAAACTTTTTATCCTGCTACTATTCCTACCATGGCAACTGTAGCTAGTGCATACGTAACTAGAAAGCAAACACCACCTACCCCATTACCAGAAGACAAATCCTTCCTTTACTATGCGCATTGAGGGATTAGCAACTTGGAAACATTACTACATACTGCTGCACTGGTGTCCACACTCACTCTTAGACTGCACCACTTCTTTGGTTTGACATTCAGGGCTTAAATTTCCTTCACTGACCTGAAATGTAAGGGTATTTATTTTTCCCCTCAAAGTTGGGTCTTTGCAGTCACACAACTTCAACTGCTCCAGCAGCAGCAGTTACTGCCCTTTCCCAGTTAGTCACCATTCTAACTCTACCGTTAAAGTGAAACATGGCGGTCTGCTTTGTTTCACTTGAAAAAAAGAAACAAGAACACACACAAAAAATATCAGTGGATTAGTTTAAACTATCTAAAGGGAGGGTATAGAAAAGGCAGACTCTTCTTTAAGGTGCACAGCAACATGATATGGTGCTTAGGGACATGGTTTAGAGGTGGTTTTGTCAGGGTAGGTTGATGATTGGACTTGATGATCTTAAAGGTCCCTTCCAACCTCAGCGATTCTATGATTCTATGATGAGAGGCAGTGAACATACGTTGCAACATGCGAATATTCAGAGTAGACATTAGGAAAAAAAAATTCAGTGAGGGCAGTCAAACACTGGAGCAGTGTCGATGCTTACATA